TTCTCACGTTTATTTTCACTTTTGAAATGTAAAGGTTTTCCATGCTTGCAACTCAAAACTGTGTCAGATATATCTGAACAAGTCCCAAATTTTAGTCTTTTCAGTATTTTTACAAATACAAGCAAATAAATATATGCACATATATTGATATAAATAAAAATATACTGTTTTCCATTCTATTCTTATACAAAGTATAGAGTTCTGTAACTTCTTTCTTCACTTAAGAATATATCCTGAAGATCTCTCCGTAATCAATGTAATTAGAGAAGAGATATTTACTCCATTCTCTTGACAACTACGTAGAATTCCATTGTATAGATTTACCATTTTTTATTTGGCTAGACCCTTGCTAATGGATATTTGGGTTGTCATTACTCATTGACTCAGCTTTCCTTTAGTTAGCATTAGCATGGTATATATTTTTCTGTCTTTTACTTTTATTTTTAGCTTATATTTAAAAGAATTTCTTAAAGACAGAGTATACTTTTTTGTCCCATCTGAAAATTTCTGCTTTTTAGTTGACATGTTTAGACCATTTACATATCTGTATAATGCGTCTTGTTACTCTACCTTCACTTTTACTGATCTTTTCTCCTGCCATATCTAACCTTCTATTAATCCCACTCAGTATTTTTCATATCAGAACTTGTAGACTTTCAGATTTTAATGTCTTCTGTGTTTCTACCAAACATTTGAAATATAGTTATAATAAATTTTTCCATGTCCTCATCTACTAATTCTGTCATCTGTGTTATTTCCGGGTCTGTTACTATTGATTTGGCTTTCTTCCATCATGGGTTGTATTTTCTTGATTTCTTTTGTATTTCTAGTTATTTACTATTGGATGCTAGACATTATGAAATTGCTGGATACTTTTGTATTCTTATGAATATACTTGAAGACTTAAATTATTTAGAAACAGTTTGATCATTTATGGTTTGCATTTAAGCTTTGTTAGCTGGAACCAGAGTGGCCTTTAGCCTGTAGCTAGTATTTTCCCCCTACTGAGGCCAGCACCCATAAATTACCAGCTTTTTACCATGCCCATCTGATCTCTTGATAGTCATTTGTAGGCGTCAGGAATTGTACCCTCTGTTCTTTTCTAACTCCGCCCCCCCACCTCGGTGTATGTGCTTATCAGCACATACAGTTTCCTCACATGTATGTGCTTATCAGCGCTCAGCTGGAGACTCTGGGGCTGGGCAGGTGCTGTGGGTAACTTTGTAGCTCTCTGGTGATTTCTTCACTCTGTGCAGCTCTGCTTCCTCCAGTACTCGGTCCTGGGAACTCTAGTCACCTTGGCCTTCCACAGCTGACAGCCCCTCTCTTTCTTCTCAAGGAGACCATCTGGCAGTAAGCCGTGACGGTTAGAGGGCTCACTTTGCTTATTACCCCCTCAAGATTACTGTCCTGAACTGCTGGTAATTACCCTTTTTTTTGTTAAAGTTATTAAAGTGGGAGGATAAATCTATTCCCTGTTAACTCCCTGTACTACTACATACTGTTGTATACTCTTGTCTGACTCTCTGTGACACCATGGACTGCAGCACGCTAGGCCTCCCTGTCCATCACCAACTCCTGGCGCCTACTCAAACTCATGCCCATTGAGTTGGTGATGCCATCCAACCATCTCATCCTCTGTCATCCCCTTCTCCTCCTGCCTTCAATCTTTCCCAGTATCAGGGTCTTTTCAAATAAGTCAGTTCTTCCCATCAGGTGGCCAAAGTATTGGAGTTTCAGCTT